TGTAAAACATTCTCTCAGAGACATACCTTTAGAATGTCCCTTTTTGTTCAGTGAGTCCAGCTGCTTCCATGTGGTAAGGTCTATGGTAATTTCCACAGATTCTGCAGTGAGACAACCCTTGCCATAACTCTGTCACTGTAATATGGATCCCTTGGTCTAATATACTATTGTGAAGCGTATTACACTGGTAAATGGGGCATTCTATAAACCTTTAAACATTAGGCCTTGCAAAGGTATTTAGGCAGAGAAGGTAAAGCCACATAGAGAATGAATGCAAAATTCAAGAAGAATTATAGCTCTCTCTCTGCTACACCAAAAAGTGATGTAACAGACATGCCAGCATTTGGCAGGCCAGTCTCCTTAATAGATAATGACACATTAAGATTTCAGTGTTGCCCTTTAATGCTTGCATACTGGAATAGCACTAGCTAGGTTATCCTTGGTAAGAGAGATAGCCTTCATGCCTACCACCCTAACTACCCCATTCATGGGTCTATCAAGCAAGCACCAAGGTGTCTGAGGAGAGGACCTGGCTGACTTATAAAGAGAAATTTTGTATACATGGTTGTTATGTGACTCTTCTATTTGATTTGATAACACTAGAGTGGATTAATTTGACAATGTATATATAAATACATATGTTTTATTAACTATTTCCCAAGTGTTTCTTTTTTCCCTCCATTCTAGATAACACTAGAGTGGATTAATTTGAAAATGTATATATAAATATATATGTTTTATTAACTATTTACCAAGTGTTTCTTTTTCCCTACATTCTAAATCTGATTTTCCCTCTGGCCTTTATTTTTCTCCTGTATCTAATAGATTTATCTCCACTCAAGACATTTTATTCAACAAAGACATTCTCCACAGTTGGCTACATAAGCAGTATGAGCTTGGCATATATAGTATAGACTTACTCAGTTCCTCTGTTTTCGAAGTGGCATCCTTGCCTCCATTAATTTCTAATATCCCTGAGTCCAGATAAAATATTCTTGAGTTCAGAGTTCCTCTGAAACAAAGTCTTCAATATGTAACTTCTAGTCTCCGGGCTGTGTTTGTTGCAGAAAAGGATCTGTAGGACTAACTGTTAAATATATTCACTTTCACCTGACCTTCTTTTTTACCAGCCTTTACACGCACTGCCAGTTTCCAGATATCATGTCTCTCAAACTCCTGAAACTTTTGAAGGCTCTATAGATCTATGGATCTGATGGCTTTATTTATTGTGGCTACCACCCGCCCACTCTCTCTCTGTCTCTCTCTCTCTCTCCTGTCTTTAAGTTAATGTCTAAATGCCTTGTTTCTTTATTGCCATTTTAGTCAGGTTTCAGGAGAGAGTGAGCAGAGATAAATATTTGTATTATAGTAATACATTTATCTAGAAGAATTCAAACACGTTGTATCTATCTCCTGAAGAAGATGACTTTATCAGGTAAGTTTCATTTTAGTTTAGAGTTAGACCTGCATATAATTTTGTAATCTCACCAGTGACTCACTGGGCTAAATGAATATAAAGACGATCTGTGACATCTATCACCTCATTCATATTTAGGGTTGATTAATAAATATAGTGAGCTATGTTGTTATCCACATTTTTCATAACAGCAACAAGTGAGTCCATTTATGCTCTAAACAAAAAATATTCACAGACAGTGGAGGGTCCTACTTTAGGCGAGTGTTCACAAACACACGTTTGCTTAAGCTTTCAACCACCTCAGTGTCTCACACGCAAATGGTTTTTTCTTGGCCAGTACACTTTCAATCTTGATCTGTACTTACATTTAAATTTTAAAGTAACCACTCAAAAAAAATCTAGGGGCTTCCATTTCAATACTGTATCTATAGCTATCAATTTTCTTTACAAAAATCTACCCTGTGGGATTTTACAAAATTTTCAAACCGTTTATGTCACTAGTCAAAAGTATAACAGTCAGAGGAACGTAGATCAGATAGGAGAAACCGTCAAACTCTCCTGAATGTTTTCACAAGACTGACGATTCTGTTTTTAGAGGAAATGTTCTGAACTTCTTTCTTCACCGTTTGACATCATCCTTACTTTCAAATCTTATCTCCTCACTGTTGCTTCTCGAGAATGCTGCACTCCAGCGGATATTATCGATATATTTTTTCTTTCTGTATTTTCCCATCCTGATTTCATATTTTCCTCCCGTTATTGTGAGGATATTCATCTACCAACATCTTCACGAAGTTAAAACCTTTCCCTTCTCTAAGGTCCAATTAAATTGCCACCAAATGGCCTCGTGTCATTCATCCATCCTGAAATGATCCCAACTCATTCTGAAATCCCAAGATACCGTTTCTGTATCATTTGCACAGCTCCTACCTTGTATTACATCTATTTATAGGATTCTTAAAATATTTTTAGTGTAAATAACTCAAGCAGGTTGTTAAAAACTTGGACCATGCAGTCAGATAAATCCAGGTTCCAATTAAAGCTCTGCCACTCACTAACTGTATGGCTTTGGGTCAATCAGTGATTTCATTAGGAGCACCAAATTCAAGATTTGTAAAAAAGGAATAATAAGAACTGGCTTGTAGAATTCCTTTAATGGTTAAGTTCGATTGTATAATTTTCCTAATAAATACTACAACGTTATGAATAATAAATGGTGGTTGTAAATTTGTTATTGTTTCTTCTAGATTCTAAAAGGCTACATGTGGAACCACATCTGTTTTAATTTCTCCACATCTCCTAGAAAAAAAAAGGTATACATATAGTTTGCCTAAGGACTGAATCAATCCCCTTAGAAGTATTTTTATTCTGTATATCTGATTGAGAACTTTTAGGATATGCTTAGGATATTTTAAACATGATAGGCCTGGCCCGTAAATAACAATCATAAATGAAGAACTCCATGACTTAACATTTACTTCCAGGATTTTTTTCCATCTTACAATATTATGGCAGATATTTCTAGGGCAACTCAAAAGATATACTTTCATGTGCTCAAGTTATTTGTGAGAGACAGATACACACACACACACACACACACACACACACACACAAAATCAAGTGAACGGGGCCCTACCAAAATGAGGGGAGAAATAAAATCTTGTACTTTCCCTTTAAAAAGTAAATTTGTTCTATACTTTAGCCATAGATACAAAAAATAATTTTCACTGAAGGAAAAGGGAGATATGGAGCATATTAATACTCTCAGACACTATCAGCAGGTGGCCAGAACATGTGCTCTGATACCGTAGGTTGGAAGTTTGCACTTTATAGCCCTGCGGAGAACAACCACGCACTGATTAATATTCAACCATAGAAGGTATTTCGCCATTTCTGTTCATGAAACCCAGCAACTGCCAAAACTCCTTATTTAATGCCTCTGACTCATTTCCATCTTTCCTAATATCTGACCACACCTGGGCATTTAAGCCTACTTGGCATAAAATGAGTGTTACCAACTTGACAAACTTTTATTCTGGTCTTGATACTGAGACCCTTAGGTTAGGAAACTCTTGAAAGCAGAGACTTGTTTGTCACAGATGGAAATACTTGACTTGTTAATAAGAAGGTATTTGTGTAAGCTTTCCAAGGAGCACATTCGACTGTCTCTGAATAAATGAGCAGTGTCGTCACCGTCCTTCAGGGAGAGCACCTCCTATGGTGCCGTCACCAATTAGCTCTTCCCTTCCTTCCCTTCTCCATCTCCAGTAGACATACGCTTCAGTTGTTTGTGTTCTAAAGCTTCACAGGGTTGGTTTCTGTGTGGCGTTAGGAGAATTATAACCCTGCATGACCTTTTATAATGTGGCTCCTTAGTTACAGAGAGTACACATTTTATGGTCCTCTGTGCCACACTCTTTGCAAGCAAAAGCATGTATGTTTTCCCCCAAGGTTTACTGACCCATATTTGATAAGAAGAAAATGTTCATATTTACGATTCATAACTTGATATTTTGATATTTTATTAATCACCACAATCATAATTAATATATTCATCACCATTTTCCTTCTTTTTCAATGGTGAGAACATTAAAGATCTACCCTTTTAGCAAATTTCAAGGATGCAACATTATTGTTAACTGTAGTAATCATGGTGTACATTAGATCTCCAGAACTTATTCAGCTGTGTAACTGAAACTGTACCTTTATACCACTATCTCCTCATTTATTCATTCCCCTATCCCAGCCACTGACAACCAACATTCTACTCTCTACTTTTACAAGTATAACCATTTTAAACTCCACATAGCTGTCTCGAGCCCTTGGCGCGAACATTACAGTCTACACTTGTAAATCAGCAATCCTCTGTCACGCAATTAGTAGCTTTATCATGTGGAAGAGGAAGGGGCTAAAATTAGTCAAAGTCAAGTCGTATTTGGGGGAAATTAGTCCTTTGCAGCAGGGGGGAAGAGAGAGAGAGTCAGGAAGTGAAGCACTGTTGGCCGGTGCAGTGGCTCACGTCTGTAATCCCAGCACTTTGGGAGGCCGAGGCAGATGGATCACGAGGTCAGGAGTTTAAGACCAGCCTGGCCAATGGTGAAACCCCATCTCTACTAAAAAATACAAAAGTTAGCCAGGCTTGGTGGCATGCATCTGTAGTCTCAGCTACTTGGAAGGCTGAAGCAGGAATAACTGCTTGAACCCGGGAGGCAGAGGTTGCAGCGAACGGAGATTGTGCTACTGCGCTCCAGCCTGGGTGACAGAGCGAGACTCTGTCTCACAAAAGAAAGGCAGGAAGGCAGGAAGAAAGAAAGAAAGAAGAAAAGAAGAGAAAAGAAAAGAAGGCAAGCATTCCTGGCCCTGTGGCTTATGGCTATAATCCCAGCTACTTGGGAGGCTGAGGCAGGAGGATCTCTGTGCCCAGGAGTTTGAGGCTACAGGGAGCCATGATTGCACCACTGCACATCATCCTGGGGGACAGAGTAAGACTCTATCTCTAAACAAATGAACAAATAAAGATAAAATAAAGTATTATATCCTCATAGTGGCTTAGCATTTGGTAGGAGTAGCAGATACTGTACATCTTCTGGCTTTTCAGGGGGTGAGTACAGGCTTCTTGTGGTCAAAAGGGACACGGGGAGGCAGTTCTTACAACTCCAATTTACAATGCTGGGGTAGAGCTCAAGAAAGACCCTGTTCAGGATACTGTTAGCATTTGAGACGATCCTCTGGCCTCCCTCCTCACCTGACTCTATGAAGATATTGTAAGGTAGGTGCAATGCATAGTTCGTGGCAAGGTTTCCTTTTGAACATTAGCCTAGAAGGAAGGGGGGTGGCTACATTTGTGCCACTGCTGAGCCACAGAGGCTCGACTAGAACCCCTTAGCAGCAGCCTGGATAAACAATGACAAATGCTAACCCGGGGAGAACTGAGGTGGTTTCTAAGTTAGAACTAGAGTCTCTCCCATTCTACCGCTGGCTTCTAGATCCAAGTCTTGGCTCTCTTCTCTTCAGAGACGTCTAAACAGTACCCAGAAGACAGGAAGAGGTGGGAAGTTCGGAATGTCCTAGAGGCTTGTTGAACGGCTTAGACCAAAATGCTGACAGTGATACGGACAATAAAGCCCAGGCGGAGGCTGTCTCAGACGGAGATGAACTGTTTCCGTGTCTCTAACATGCGTCTTCAGTGCTGTCTCTACAGTCTTAGGAACTATGGCCTGTGGTGCTGCCGGGGCTCAGAAAACGATTCCGCAAAATACGGCCCTTTGACCTGCTGAACTAAAGAAGCCGCCTCAAGGTAAGTTTATCTGACCTCTATTACCCACACCTCACCCCCATCCTCTTATGTTCCTGAAGCCCCAGCAGGGACTCTCCATGGAGCTTCCCTATCTAAGAAAGATTCTTTCCAAAAGACATGCAAATTTTCGGCCGGGCATGGTGGCTCATGCCTGTAACCCCAGCACTTTGGGAAACTGAGGTGGGCGGATCCCTTGAGTCCAAGAGTTCGAGACCAGCCTGGCCAACATGGTGAAACCCCACCTCTACTAAAAATACAAAAATTAGCTGGGTGTGGTGGTGCATTCCTGTAATCCCAGCTACTCGGGAGGCTGAGGCAGGAGAATCACGTGAACCTGGGAGGTGGAGGTTGCAGTGAACTGAGATTGCATCACTGCACTGCAGCCTGGGCGACAGAGCAAGACTCCATCTAAAAGAATAATAAAATAAAATAAAATAAAATGACATAAAATAAAATAGAAATGCAATTGTCTTAAGACTCCCTCCCCAGGAATCTCATCAAATGACCAGGAAAGATTAACCACAAGAGAAGAAACCAGGAGTCCTCACCTTGCCCTGACAGGCCTTTCATGTATTCCTCCAAGTGCAGCTCAGAGCGTTCCTGAGAGGCTTCATCTGCATAACCAAACAAGCTTTGTTCACAGTTCTGCCCCTCACCATCTGGCCACCTACCCCAGAGCTCATGGGAACTTTGTCCCGGATCATTGTTCTTTGGGTTCATTCGTTCCCCATGAAAGCCACTTACCGGTCTACCCTTCATCTCCCCTTTCCCTATGAGGAAGGGCATATAAGCGTTCGGACCTTACTGGGTTATTGGGTAACCATCCTCTGTTGATTCCCCTGAGCTGCACATGTTAAACAAATTTTGTATGCTTTTTTTCTTATTATTAATTTGTCAATAGTCCATGTTGAGCAAACTTTCAGAGGGTAGAAGGGGAAGCTTTCTCTTGGTTTCTACAATGACGAATTAAACAGATGAGAGCAGAAGTCTGAGAATGCGAGGACCTCCTCGATCATACCGTTATTTTCCCTGCTTTGGTTAGGAATACCGTCTCACTAGCGCAGAGAGATGGCGGTTGGTTCAGTTCAGAAAACTCACACGTGGGATCTGTATATCAGATCTGTGGGGCCCTCACTTCCTCAAACCAGTGAGTTTGCGGGTGAGGTGATTTCTCTTTTATTCACATATATAATCCAGATGCTCTAAAGCATTTCCTTTTTCATTTTAGTAATTTCCAAGCTATTGCTTTAGTCAAATGAGCTTATTTCTGTTAAATTACAAACAATTACTTCTAGGATGAATCCCGACTGAAAGAGTAATCAGTAATTCTCTTCCTGTCCGTCCCCTATCAGATTTAGATAAAAATTCAGTGTTTTTAAATTTCTGTAGGTTGCTTAGGAGACATGGGAGAAGACGACGGGGAGAGGATGGAAGGGAATTCAGGTCATGCCGCTGCATTTACTCACGTGCGTCCTTATTCCCTTAGTCAACTCATTTCCATACATTTCTCCGGGATCTTGTTCAAGAAGATCTTTGGATGTTTTTCAGCCTACTCTAATTACTCCTCCTCTATGTTACTGCTCCTAACTGTACCGACTACCCTATCATGTGTTATTGCTTTTCCTTTTCTTTTTTTTTTCCCTTTTTGAGCTGGAGTCTCGCTCTGTAACCCAGGCTGGAGAGGAGACCATGGTCTCAGCTCACAGCAACCTCCGCCTCCCAGGTTCAAGGGATCCTCTGCCTCAGGTTCCCAAGTAGCTGGAATTACAGCTGTGCTGCCACACTCGGCTAATTTTTATATTTTTAGTAGAGACGGGGTTTCACGACGTTGGCCAGGCTGGTCTCAAGCTCCTGACCTCGAGTGATCTGCCTTTCTTTGTCTCCCAAAGTTCTGGAATTGCAGGTATGAGCCACCATCCCTGGCCCATGAGTTCTCCTTTACAGTCTATTCATTATGTACATGTTTGTCTATAGGAGTCTGTTATACAGTTGGAAAGAGCCTTTCTCAGAGTTAGAGTTTGATCAGACAAATAAGCTATTTTAGTATTTACAGTTTTTGTCTAGTAAAGAAAAGTCTTCCATGAAAATCGCGGTTTAGGATGTCTTTGTTAGCTCTTAGTCAATACCACAAGTTGGTTCTGGAGCAAGTTCTGTCTTTTTCAGTATCGTATTTCAGCTTTTCCTCCAGGAGCACACATAGAAGCTGCGTGGTGATCCAGTGGTAGCATCCTCACCTCCTGCGTGGTAGACCCTGGTTCAATTCCTGGTGAAAGCAACAAATTTTGTGTTTCACTTCTCTATACTCTTTTTTTTTTTTTTTTAGACAGAGTCTCGCTTCGTCGTTAGGTGCCAGGCTGGAGTGCAATGGTGTGATCTCAGCTCGCTGCAACCTTCACCTCCCAGGTTCAAGCAATTCTCCTGCCTCAGTCTTCTGAGTAGCTGGGATTACAGGCACGCGCCACCATGCCCAGCTAATTTTTGTATTTTTAGCAAAGACGGGGTTTCACCATGTTGACCAGTCTGGTCTCAATCTCTTGATTTTGTGATCCGCCCGCCTCGGCCTCCCAAAGTGCTGGGATTACAGGCATGAGCCACCGTGCCCGGCCCACTTCTCTATACTCTTCATACTTCTGTTCCGCAAAATTACACTACATGGGCTATCCTGTGTGTAGGGGCCTTGGCTGTGGAGGCTTTTGACTGATGACAGTGGGAACCCAAGTGATGGCCAATGCCAGGAACATAAGATATTCAGGAAATGATCTAATGATCTTGTGACCTTGCAGTTAGAGTCAAGAGCCATTCCTGTAATCTCAGCACTTTGGGAGACCAAGGCAGGTGTATCACCTGAGGTCAGGAGTTCGAGACCAGCCTGGCCAACATGGTGAAGCCCTGTCTCTACTAAAAATACAAAAATTAGCCAGGCCTGGTGGCTCATTCCTGGAGTCACTTAGCACAGTCTATCTTTGAAAGTGGCAAGTGTTTCTGGGAGGTCACTGCAGTTCTGAATACTGGGATGTAAAACTCTTGTTACTTTCATCTATTCTCCAGGTAGATCCCTGGATTCCTAGCAATGTGTGTCCACACGTGTTGTCATGATTTTTTCTTTTTTTTTTTTTTGAGATGGAGCAGTGTAGCAGTGGCTTGATTGTGGCTTGTTGCAGGAGGAGCTGTGACAGAACCCCCCAGATACTGAAGTGAGGAAGGACGAGGCTTTTATTCAGCTAGCTGTGGAGCATCAGTTTGCTCGTGTCCAAAAGATGCTGAGCTCCCTGAAAAGCAGTTTCTTTCCCTTTTTAAAGACACGCAACTCAAGAGGAAGCAGAGGTAAGACTGCGTCATTGCCCACTGGCTGGAGATCTGACATTACAGTCTTTGGCTTTCATTGATTTGCTAATTTACATGCGGTGTGGGAGGGGAAGAGTTACAGAAGTTGAACAAAGGCAGTAAATCACTTAGTGACAGAGGCATCTCTAAGCCGGTGGGTCTAGTTGGTGCAGACGGGGAGTACCTGACTCAAAGAAGGTCCTTGGGCAGTAAGAAGAACATTTGCAACACTTTCAAGGCTGGCAGATAGCAGAGTCACCAGATACAGAGAGAGGGGTTATTTTTCAGACCTTGGGCCCCGCTGTGGTCAGGCCGGTGGGTCAGTGTCTCGCCTGACTACTGACCTTCACTTTGTGCTATTTTATCTCCCCTCCCCCTTTTCTAACAGAGGACAGGCAAGGGAGAGAGAGATGGTCTCCTCTCAGGCTCACCGCAACTTCCGCCTCTTGGATTCAAGTCCTTACCTGGCAGTACTGTGTTGAAGCCATTGAAACTGTCCCTGTAAATTTTACAAAATGAATCAGGGAAGAAGGGAAGGGGAGAAGCAAAAATGAACCAGCTCGCAGCACATTCTGCATTACTCTCGAGGGCGGCCTTCGCTTGGACCTGCTCCCTCACAGTTGTTTGGCGCTCGTGGTGCTAGAATCAGGCAGAGCGTAGATTACGGTTCTCCTGAACTGTTCTGTAGATAAGAACCTGAGCATTACGATGTTCACGTTCCCGTTTGGGATGTTCTTTCAGATCCCGTGTACCAATGAAACTGAAACTCCTGACGTCAGCTGGTCTGAAGGACCCCATTGAGGAACTGACTCAACGAAGAATAGTTTCCACATCCTAATGATTTCATCCCCTTCCCCTGTCCAATCAACAACCTTAATTTTCCCACCCCTCACCCTCCACAATCCCCTTAGGAGCCTTAACGCAGAAGTTCTTGAGGAGATGGATCTCAGGGTCTACTCCTGTCTCTTCCCCTGGCTGCCCTGTGATCATGAAACTCTTTGGTGCAAACTGCCGTCTCAGTGCATCGGTCTAAACACTGCACAGAAGAACCTACTGGTCCTACAACACCAGAGCTGTTTTCTACGTTGTTTTAACTTTTTTGGGAATCTCTGTACTTGTTGAATAAACATTGTAATGCAATATGTAATTTCTTGTTTTTCTTAGTATTTTTTCTCTAAACAGGAATCAGGCTTTTGGGAGAACAATCTAGGAGACTTGATTTATAAAAATGAAAATGACAGATTACTAATGAGGCACATCGAAAGGACCCATCAAGTGACAGGAAAATTAAACCAAGATGATCAAATTCAAACCATATCATAGTAAAATGATTAGATTTTAAAGGTAAAACATACTCAGGTCTCCAGGCATCACTGTGGAACAAGGTATAAAAGCAACTGAATTAGAGGGACACCGACATACAAGGCAAGGTAACAGTGAAGCAGCGTTTTCAAAAAACTTATATACAGGAAGTGCAGTGTGGCTGGGCCACCACAGCCCCCAGTAGGGGGGTAGGTGGGCACTAAAGCAGATCCAGAAGGAATTAACAGACTTGGCAGAGGGATCCTCCCGCCCAGTGTTCCATGGGGCCTGTGGGTGATAATTAGTGACTGTCCTTACCAAGGAGGAGTTTTCTTCCTGACCATCCACTTGCCTACGGATTCAAGCCCCCAAAGGTTGCTTTCACAGCCAGATTTTCTCACCCCAGTGTCAACAGTAATGACAGCATCTGCCGTGACAGCCTGTGGTCTCAGTGGTCTCCAGCATTGACTGTGTCAAAAGTTCTCTTGTCTATCTGCTCACTGCTCTGCACCCCCAACCTCGATGACCCTCTGGTGCCAGAGATAGCCCGCACTTACCAGGCCAGCAGAAGTACAACCGACTAGCAGGAGAGTGGACGCAATAACATGCTATTTAAGTGCCTCAGAGGTTTTACGGGAGACGTTGTCCAAGAGAAGCTAGCGGAGAGGTCTTCCCTTGAAATTCTGGGCTATGGGCTGAGCCATTCAAAGTGTCACCTGTTCTTCAAACAAACTGATACAGGAGTTAAAAAGGCAGGTAGGGTAAGGAAGTCCTCGGGAAGATTTCCCTTTTGATCAAAAGCAGCCCCAAATCATTTCTTTTCTAACAAAGAGCAGCCTATAAAATCAAGCTGCAGACACAGATAACCAAGCTTGCCCTGGTGAACGCCGGCGGCTGTGTCAATAGGGAAAGGCTACCGGGGGGGAGGCGCTCACCATGGCGGCTGCATCTCCCCTTTTCCTTGCCGACGACATGCTGAGGGTCACGTAGAAACCCTACTGGTATCATAAGCAGGTTAGGGTGGGGTGGCCAGCTTCTTCCAGCCTATGTAAACGTAACACCTGGTCCCACCAATCTTTGGGCCTAGGTAAATCAGACACTGCCTCCTCAGGCCATCTACAAAACCCTGTGCCCTTCACCCCAAAACCAGAAGTCCCACTGGGACACTCCACTCTGTCTCAGGAGAGGGAGCTATTCTCCTTTCTCTTTCTTTTGCCTGTTAAACCTTCGATCCTAAACCCACTTCTTGTGTGTCCAAGTCCTCACTTCCCTTGGTGTGAGGAAAGGAACCTTGGCTATTTACCCCAAACAACAATGCGACTCCAAATGTTGGTCACCCACTCTCTCCAGCAGCAGCGTGTTGGTGCCATTCTCAGCAATTACGGCTTTGACGATGCCACACATTTGGCGCCAAATCAGCAGCCACTGTTAGGATCTCCAGCCTTCCTGGTTACACTGGACTCTCTGCCCCAGCTGATCTGCTGGTGTTCTGGGGGCCAGGCCCTGCAGGTCTCTCTTACCCAGCCTCAAATGTGCCACTGCTCACAAACGTACCACATCAGGTCCTCAGCCTGGCCCCTCGCCACATGCCCCTTGCCTTTTAGAGCTCAGTGCCATCCTGGGTGCCCAGGGCACAGCAGGGTTTTCTCACACTCTGTCTGCTGCACAGCCACAGCCTGAGGAGCCTCAGCTCATGCTGGAGGGAACTGGGAACAGTGTCACTGGGACGTGAAGGCCTTGCCCTGTGGCTTCCACTAGTCTTCTGCATTGCCACATGCTGGCATTTCTCCCCTCACACCAAGAAGCGGCAAGTGGAAAATGTCAAGATAGAAAGCAAATAACACCCGATAAGAGATGACTATGTTTTCAGAATCAAGAGCAAAATCATGAAACCTCTGGAGGTTTGGGTTATGATTTTCCATTTGATGAGGATTTTTGCCACCCCTGTTCCTGCCACTAGAAGCCTACACAAAGTCCAAGTGTGAGCCATTCACAGACTAGAACACAAGGAGGGAGAGAGGCTCCTTTAAATGTAAATAAACATGTAATGTATTCATTTAAAAAAAAAAAAAAAGACAGTGCAGGCCGGGCACGGTGGCTCATGCCTGTAATCCCAGCACTTTGGGAGGCTGAGGCGGGTGGATCACGAGGTCAAGAGATTAAGACAGACCATCCTGGTCAACATGGTGAAACCCCGTCTCTACTAAAAATACAGAAAACTAGCTGGGCATGGTGGCACATGCCTGTAATCCCAGCTACTCAGGAGGCTGAGGCAGGAGAATTGTCTGAACCCAGGAGGCGGAGGTTGCAGTGAGCCAAGATCGAGCCATTGCACTCCAGCCTGGGTAACAAGAGTAAAACTCCGTCTCAAAAAAAAAACAGTGCAAATTAAGGATATTATATCCAACCAAGCTCCCTTCAAGGTTCAAGGTACAAGGGAATGGCTTTGCTTAAATGTCACATGGGCAAGGCTCAACTATACTGTGACTGAAACCCTGACCAGATGCACTCTGGACTGTGGTGACACAGGTCGTCTTGTGAAGCGTTATCATAAGACTATTTCTCACTCATCTCTTGTGAGACCTCCTTGTCTCGCAGCAAGCTACCAGTAGACAGTTTCTCATCTGGTTCTGGTAAGCTGTAGAAATTTCCATCCTGCCCCGATCCCCTCAGGGTACAACCATAGACTGTCACTGCCTGACTGCAACATAAAAGTGGCCCCTTCTTGACAGAGCTGCCCACCACTTGGGTTGTCATCTAATAACCCCAGTTTGGTGTCATGCTGTGGAATTACAGATGTGGGCAGCGGACAGCATGCTAAGCTTTCTTACGCATAGATCTCCCCCATCACTGATGCTGTATGCGTAAGTCCAGGTGTGAGCCATTCACAGCTTTGATGCCCAGCATGGGGCCGGTAAGGTCACAATGCTTTCTTGGAGAAAGGACAGAAAGAACCATGTGGGGCCAGGTTAGCAGTTTTGAGAAGGGCCTCCAGGATCTGGTAGCAGATGCTCTCCCACAAGTAGCAGGTGTGAGGGAGAGTGATGGTCCTATATCCCATTTAGAGGCTCAGCATTGATGAGGGAGGGCTGAAAGCAGCCACCCAAATGGCATTTTTTGTTGTTTAAAGTTCATTGAAACTGAATGAACAGTTTGGGCACGGTGGCTCATGCTTGTAATCCCAACAGTTTGGGAGGCTGAGGCAGGTGGATAACCTGTGGTCAGGGGTTCAAGATTAGCCTGGCCAACATGGTGAAACCTCGTCTCTATGAAAAATAGAAAAGTTAGCCAGGCATTGTGGAGGGAGCCTGTAATCTCAGCTACTTGGGAGACTGAGGTAGGAGAATTGCTTGAACCCAAGCAGCAGAGGCTGCAGTGAGCTGAGCGCACCACTGCACTCCAGCCAGGGCGACTCCCTCTTAAAAAAAAAAAAAAAAAAAAAAAACCTGCAAAAAGCCGCCAAAAACCGAATGAACAGCCTTTTAAAACCAAAAGCAATTGCAGAGTGTGCTTCCTGCTGCGTGCCTGCTCCCTTTGTGCTCCTAATTCTTCTCTTCCCTCAGCCTGACTCAGGTACATTAAGGAAAGAAGCCTTACTAGTGCTTTTTTTTTTTTGAGACGGAGTTTTCCTGTTGTTACCCAAACTGGAGTGCAATGGCACGATCTCGGCTCACCGCAACCTCTGCCTCCTG